AAGGTAAAACTATATCATCAACATTTTACTTTTTAAGTTAGCTCGGGCTCTTATTACATAGAAAGTGCATCTGTGGGTTGTCTTTTTGTGAGGAGACTCAGGCGTTGGTATTTGGTTTCATGAACTCTGTTACTGCTGAGAGATGGTCTTGCGTTGTTGGCCGGCAGCAAGGAGGAGCCCACAGCACGCTTCCTCCCTCCCACCTCTTTGGGCTCAGCAACCCAAGCTCAGAGTAGGGGGCGGGCAGGAGAGAGCCCCGCACAGCCTCTGAGCAGCATCTGGGGTCTTGGGACTTCTTGGCTTTCCTCAAGTTTAGTCCAGTTCTCTAAAAGCATTTGTATAGCTTTAAATTACTAAGTGATTTCTGAATATTTTCTTCCGAAGAGGCTCAAAGCACTGTTCTACCTGCATGCAATTGGAGCCACATCACCCTTGATGGTCCCCAGTGGGGAAAAGCCCAACTTTTCTCTGCTTTTCTAGAAAAATAGAGAAAAGTGGATGACCTCACAGTGGCTTCTTCATTCCTTCCCTCCTGTTCATGATGAAAACCGGTTTGACTTTGGCCACACACACACACACACACACACACACACACACACACACACACGATTGCTTCAGAGAGGCATCAGGGCCAGTGTGGCGGCACAGCAGGGTTGGGAGACAATCTTTGCCCATGATCACAAAGGCAAAACCAGCTGCCTGAAGCCTTCGTAAAGCAATATGTGTGCAAGTGAAAATCAGTGGCTCAAAATAGGGGGTTTTGTTTTTAAAGACAGGGTCCTTCCTGGCTTTTATAGTTTCCACTGGCCTTGAACTCACTTAGTAGCCCGTGCTGGCCTTAAACATTCAGTGATCCTGCCTCAACCTTCTTCCCGAGTGGGATTATAGGTGTGCAGCACCACGCCCGTTTTTGGTTTTTTTTCAGTCCTTGGGATTGAACCAAAAACCAGGTAAATCTGAGCACATGCTCTACTACTGATCTACCCCATAGACTAGTTCAAAATAAAGTGTCTGATATAGAGAATTAGAATGGTCTTAGGAAGTTTTCTAGAAGAGATAAGATGAATTGGACTTTTGTTGTTTTTGAGACAAGGTCTCACTTTTGTAGTTCAACCTGGCTTTAACCTGACTTGGCCTCCTGCCTCAGCCTCTCAAATGCTGGGATTATGGGCATGCATCATCACCGTGCCTGCCTGATGAATTGGATTTTAAAGAAAGTGATAAACTGATAGATTTCACAGCATCATTGATAGTGATAAACTTACAGATTTCTTGCTGGAAGAAATTTTCTTAATAAATCCACCACATCCACTCTTATATCCTTTTAATTAGTTCCCTTAAAATGGGTCTGCTACAAACAGGATGACTGTATCTAGTAAATATTAGATATTTGCAAATGCTAATACTACTCATTTCTTTTTTTAGTGGTGGTGGTACTGGGAATTGAACCCAGGGCCTTCACATTGAGCTACATCCCCACCCCTTTATATTCTGAAACAATATAAAGTTTGCCCAGGCTGGACTCCTGCTTTAGTCTCTCCAAGGCCTGGGATTACAGGCAGATGCACCTTCACCACTTCTGTAAAATACACCTTTCTCTGTTCCAAACGGAGATCTGTTCAGTGAGCTCTGATAAAATTATTTAAATTAGAAATTACTACCACAGATATATGAAAATATGAATTACTGAGCTAAATCATCTCACTTGATCAGTTTCCTCAGATATCTGAATATTATTTTCCCATGAAATTTTTTCCCTCTTGATTATTAGAAGCAAATTGATATGCTAAATTCTGTAAGTCTGCGATGGTGGGGGAAACACCTGTTACTGTACTTCAGTTCTTTGAGGTCAGAGAACAAGTCTTGTTTTACAAGGTGTCTTTAGTAAACCCTGGCTATAATTCTGATGGTTTTTAGCTTCTATCTTCACGAAATGTAATTGATTCTATTATCTTTTGGTCATCGAGAAGCAGATAATGCAGATTTCATGTAATGAGCTCTAAAAAGTGACTTAATGTAACTATTTAAAAAGAAATACTTCCTTGTGTGATTTTCTTCCTGTTAGAAGAGTGTACATAGAATGTTCTAGAGAATGTTCCTCTTTTTATAGAATGTTCTAGAGAAAGGCCTTAGTATGAGTCTATTCAGTGTGTTCAGCAGAGCAGAGAAACCTCCCATTCCTGTTCCATTGTGGTAGGTTCAAAAGTCATGGTTTTTCAGTTCTTCACAGCAAGAAAGATGTTTTAGTTTCTATGGAATATTTTTTCAGTGCAAACATTTGCTACCTCACTGAAAACCACCTGGTCTGGGAGAAAGGATGCTCCCTGGGCAGTCCTTGGTGATGGCCAAGGGGCTCCGTAGAGGGCTGCTCTGCCAGGGTGTGCCCCGGGCTTCAGCTTTTGGAACTTTAATGGGTACTGTAAGGGGTGTTGTGGGTCTATGAAGCTATTATTTATCGTGCACAAGTGGCCTTAGAAGATTCTAAATACATTTGAACAATATTATATGTGTGTTCTTTGTATCATTCAGAGTGAATGAGAGTTTGCTAATGGGAGACTTAAGTGGGACATTAAGGAAAAGCGGCAGGAAGGATGCTTAGTGTGGAGCTCACAGATCACTTCTCTGTTGTGAGGATTAATAAGCAAGACAGTGAGAAAGGGTTAGGTGCCCTTGGTGAGTGTTTGTCCCATTTACTGGTAATGTTTCTGGTTAGAACATTTGTATAAAATGTTAATGGCTTATCAGTATGGATAGTATGGGTGTTTAACTTGGACACTTTTTTCCCAAGACTAAGAATTCTTAGCAAACTGTTTCTATAATTTTCAAGTAGAATAAGAAAATGCACACTTTATTTGAGGGAAAGCTGAGGATTGTTTTCCATGCTGTACAGATTTGTCACTTTTTTCTCTTTGCCTTTGGAAAGTTTCACATTAACAGCATGAGAACTTAAAAATATAGTTGATGTTGAAAGAGCTTAACTAAATATTTTAAATTGGTGGTATTGGAAAGAGATTCTGTAAAAATCCAATTAAACTTTTGAAAGCTCTATCCTGTTGAAATATAACTTGAAGGAAGTCAGTTTGGTTTCCCAGAAGTACTGTGCATAGTGTTTTTGGCTGAGGAAGAAAGGCTTAAGTCTGCTGTTTGGCTAGAAATTGGGTACCAGCTTCCTCTACGGTGTTTTACTTGCACAGTGTTGACACTTGAACAAATCCCATAGAAACTGCCCCAAGTAGGGAAAGCTGTCCCTGCTTTTATCAAAAGACTTGGCCCCAATAACTACAGCTCCAGACACTAGCAGCATTCTTGGCTGACTAATCTATAGATGTGCATAAATTGAGAGCTAAGACTCCAAATGTTTTAGGAACTTTAATGGCTACTGTATTTCAACCAATCAGTAGAGTAAACTTTAAAAAATATTGGTGCAGTTTATTGCTCCATAGCCAATAAAAATAGTGAACAAAAAGAGTCTAGTGTCCCTTGTTTCTTAAATAAATTGAAAATACAGTTCTGCTATTTAATTATTAAAGTTAAAAAAAATAGAATGATTTCTTTTAAAATTGGGCCTCTTTAGGAACTTTTCCTTGCCTCAAACACCAGAAATAGCCTTTTTCCATTAAATTTTAGTATTTAACCAATGTTTCTGTGATTTATTTTCATGAGGAACAAAACAAAACACTTGTATAAAATTGTTTCATATATATACATATACACACACACATACACATTTACCCCTGATACTAAAGTGTTTCTGTGTATCAGACAGTTATGTAACTAAGTGAAAGAAAGGTGATTTATCTCTTACGTTAAAATTTAGGTTTGAATGTTAGCTTACATTTCTAATTATAATCTATTGTGAGAAAAAGAAAACATCCAGAATTGAGATACGCAGTTTAAGAAAAGTATGGCTTGGATCACAGCAAGAAGAGGGCAGAGGAAAGGTGACAGGTGTGTGTTGTAGGAGGGGAAGACGTGAAATGGCTGGGGCCAATTGTGCATGGCTTGTCCTGGCCCTCGGTCCTTATGCCGAGGGATTGTAAGTAAGGGTCTGCAGTCTGCAAGCTAGAGGCCTTAGCCGATTTGGACCATGTCTCACAATTCAGGCTCTGTAATCTTACAACTCCCTAAATATGATACTGCTAAATTAAGCAGAAAGTTTGTTGAATTCCATTGGTACTAAAGAAAACTTTTCTGAGGTTCTTCTCTTTCAGAAGAAAACATTTTAAAAAGGAATTTAGGAGAAAATTATCCATATAAAAACCCAGCTGTATGCCCACAGTACTTTAATATGTAAATCTGTCTTTTTTGGGGGTGGGGGTGGTGGTAGTAGGACTAAACCCAGGGCCTTTGCACCAAGCTATTTCCCCAGCACTTTTTTATTTTTTATTTTGAGACAGGGTCTTGCTCAGTTATGAAGTTAAGTTACCCAGACGGAACTCAAGCATGGACTCCTGCCTTAGCTTACCGTAGTGCTGGGATTATGGGTGTGCATCTATCTCCATACCCAGCTGCTTGGTGCAACACAAAAGAAAAATTAAATGCACATATCAGCAAATAGAGTTGTCATGGTTGTTTCATAGTCCGAGACTTCACCATTGTGAACTTACCAGTACCAGACTTTGTGGTTAAGGGATTTATTATATATCAAATGCATAAAGCTTTAAAAACCATTCGGCTTTAAGCCAGCCATGGTGATGCCCGCCTGTGATCCCAGCACTCAGAGGCTGGGGCAGGAGGATCGCTGCAAGATTGAGGCCAGCCTCAGCAACGCAGCAGTTAACTTCAGGGTTAGCCTGGACTATTGAGAGGGACTGTGTCTCCCTTTTACTTACCACACTCCCTCCAAAAAAAAAGCCATTCCCCTTAAATATTTTGTTTTGTTTTGTACAATCCATAGAAGAGGGTGAATAGATGTGCTAGTGTGGATCTAAGGATATTAGAATGATGTCCACGATGTCTGACCTCCAGCAGGCGCCTCACCCTTCTGTTGCTTGTCACAGGTGAGAAGCCCTACAAGTGCACGTGGGAAGGCTGTGACTGGAGGTTCGCGAGGTCGGACGAGCTCACGCGCCACTACCGCAAGCACACGGGCGCCAAGCCCTTCCAGTGCGCCGTGTGCAACCGCAGCTTCTCGCGCTCCGACCACCTGGCACTGCACATGAAGAGGCACCAGAACTGACCGCCGGGCCCACAGCGACCTGCCTCACTATCACAACAGAGAAAGAAAAAACTGGAAATGTATATTTTGTATATGTGAGAAAACAGGGAATACATTGTATCAATACCAAAGTGTTTGGTCATTTTAAGAATTGGGAATGCTTGCTGTAATGTACGTGGTTTCCCTCAATCAAGCAGGTTTCATCTCATGCCAGGCAGCCGCACCTGGACAGGGGAGGCTGGGGTGAGGGCTGAGTGCTCAGACGGGCACCAGGTGACTGTGAAGGTGGCTGGCACCGGAGGAAGGACAGGTTATGTGTCGAGAGTTCCTTAACATGAGATAATTCCTTAGGTACCCAGTGTACCTGGCAGTTCACAAATAGCCATTGAACAAATGTGTTTTTTCTTTTTAAATATATATGAGTTGCCTATATTTGCTATTTGAAATTTTGTAAATATGCAAATCAGCTTTATAGGTTTATTAGAAGTTTTTTAGGATTCTTTTTGGGGAAAAAAAATCATACTGCTTTTGAAAATAACCATGAATACATTTACAGTTAGAATTTGTGGTAAGATACCTCTCAAAACATTACCAAATTCATTTCTTTAGGGGGAAGGAATAATCTTTCAAATGAACTTTAAAAAGCAAATTTCATGCACTGATTAAAATAGGATTATTTTAAATACAAGAGTTTTATATGAATTGTAAACTGAGGAGCTTAAAGATGGTTACAATATACAAAAGTGAAACCTCTTACGATAAGCTAAACACAGTATCATTTTTAAAAAGAAGGACTTAATGTAGTTTTCACATGACAGCGCTGAACTTAAGATGCAGTTTTCGTATACTGAGATGTTCACTTGTGCAGTTCTGTTGGTTAAATGACAGTTCATGTGGATTTTGCATGTAATATACAGTGAGACACAGTAATTTGACCTAAATTACAGTGCAGTTTAGTTAATCTATTGTTAATACTGACTCAGTGTCTGCCTTTAAGTATCAATGGTATGTTGGAAACTTAAGGAAGCAAGTGCTACATATATGCAATATAAAATAGTAATGTGATGCCGATGCTGTTAACCAAAGGGCAGAATAATAAGCAAAATGCCAAAAGGGGTCTTAATTGAAATGAAAACTTAATTTTGTTTTTAAAATATTGTTTATCTTTATTTATTTTGTGGTAATATAGCAAGTTTTTTTTTAGAAAACAATTTTCATAACTTGATAAATTATAGTTTTGTTTGTTAGAAAAGTTGCTCTAAAAATGTGTAAATAGGTGACAAATGGTGTAAATAATTTTGTAAGAGGCTTAAAATGTTTATACGTGGAAACATACCTACATAAAAAGCATAAATTGGTTGCTGTTTTGCTTCTTTTTCCCTCTTATTTTTGTATTGTGGTCATTTCCTATGCAAATAATGGAGCAAACAGCTGTATAGTTGTAGAATTTTTTGAGAGAATGAGATGTTTATATATTAACGACAATTTTTTTTGGAAAATAAAAAGTGCCTAAAAGAATCTTGTTGTGCTTTTTTTCTTTACTTGCCATAGCAAGGATAGCTTGCAAATTCCATTCCTAAAGCTGAATTGGTTAATGAAAAAACAGTTCTCAGGTATTCTTAGGCAAACTGCATAGAAGGAATACTTATCTTTGGGCCAGGGATTTAGCTCAGTGGTTCCGCCTCCTGCCTCCAAGCACAAGGACCTGAGTTCCATCCCTGGTACCAAAACAAAAACAAAAACAAATACTTATCTTTAAAACACAGGCTGAGGGAGAAAGATGCCAAATTGGGGCCAGCCTGGGGATTTAGTAACTTAGCCTGTCTCAAAATATAAAAGGGGCCAGGGATATAGCTCAGCGTGAAAGCCTTCAATCCTTAGTACCACCAAAAAGAAAAAAGACAAGGAATTTTTTTTTTTTGAAATATAATTAAAAGCAAAAAGGTAGGCATGAATGATTCATGAACAGTTTTCTGGCCATCTCACACCACTGACCCTTTCAACGTCATTAATTGAAAACACTAAACTTCATGTGTTAGTTTGGAGATTTTATTATCAGGTAAGCAAAAGCATTGGATTTTAACTTTTTCCTTTAAAAAGAAAAGATTGTTAAAATTTGATTCTTTTTTCAGTGCTGGGAATTGCACATGCTGAGTAGGTGCTCTACCACCCACCCAGTTCCTGAATAAAAGTTGATTTCTTCCAGCAGTAGCCCTGTATCTTGACTTCTAACACCATTCAATCAAAGGAACTGGAGATCCTTTGAGAAATGACTGACTGGACATGGAGTGGGAAACAGTATATGCCTGGAATAGCTTACAATGCCAGAAGTAAGGAGGTGATTAGAAAAAACAAACATGATGCTAGGACTGTCCGAGCAACAAAACAAAGTAAAGTTGGGTTATAATTCCAACTGTGAAATAACCCTGTTTCCTTGATCTATGTAAATGATTGAATAGAAGAGACAAGTCTGCAGGACAATTCCAAACAGATTTTGTAGGAACAGCTTCACCCTCAGAAAATGGAACCCAGCACTGGGCTCCTTAGCTCATCTGCAGGAAGTGGGCTCCTTCCCAAGAGTACTGTAGGTGAGGGAGGGAGGGAGGGAGGAGTGCGTACAGTAGAGAACTCTGGAAACCCCAGCCAGCCGGTCAGAGGCCACATGAGCAGCGATAAGTTGTGCTGATAGCATGTACCTTGGATATGATGAGACTGAAACTTTGCCTTTGGTCTTGCTCCTTTGCACACAACCCTCAGTGCAATCAGGGAAACATGATTTAGAAAATGTATCAGTATTTGTTTATTTGTGGTGACAAATGTATCACACTGATGTATACCATTAAGAGAGGAATCTGGACCTGGGGTTACAGGAATTTTATTCTCTTTTGCAATAATTGTGTAAATCTGAAATTTCTAAAACAAGAATTTTATTTCATTTTTTGGTACCGGGGATCGAACTCAGGACCTTGCGGCTGCCAGGTAAGCAAGGGTTTTATTTTTTTTAAAGTAAAGAAAAATTACTTGTCACTATTCTTACAGTAGTTGGGGAGGGGGATTTCTGACCTCAGATCTAAAGAGAAAATCATAGTTATGTGATTTGGCCCTGTAAGTTTATTTGATCTCATTATTTGACCCTCCACTCTTCCCAAGTAATCTCTATCAGAAGAATAACAGTTTATTCCCTGTGAACTTCTCATTTTTTCATGGGGAAAAAAAATTTTCTTTGGTTTAAATTTACTTTTAGACATTGAAATTAAAAAATGAGGCTACAGGGCCCAGGATTTACCTCAGTGGCACTGCGCCTGCCTCACAAGTATAATGTCCTGAGTTTGATCCCTGGTACAAAAAAAAAAAAAAAAAAGCGCTACAAACTTCTGTAAGCACATACAACCCTCCATGTCTGGAAACATGAATCAGGGACATGTGAGTGTCCAGTTGTAATTGGTGACTGTATCAATTAACTTTCCTTGTGAGTATAAACCTTCACTCGTGGTTTGGTTCCCAGCACTTCATTATACTCAACTTCCTAAATACTTTAGTACCACAGTAGCCTGGATTGCAGAGCACAGCTGTTTCCAGTTCTCTCTGTGGTCTCCTTACCACTCTTTCCCACTTCTGGAAGCTGCCCTTTCTCCTCTTGCCAGCTACCTGTTCAAAACCTGGTCTGCCAGAAGCTCAGTTCAGACCTCAGGCTTCATTAGCCTCATTCACTAGAACTTCTTTTGCATTTGGAGACATATAATCCTTTAGCACTTGAATTATTTTTCCAATTTTCATTGGAAACCATATGTTTTTCTTCCTCAGCCTTGCCAGTACCTTGGAAGAAAACATTAGCACTTTGTTGGAAGAATCTACCCCTTCTTAGGTTGCCTTTGCATTTCTGCTCATATTGGTTGATAAAGGACATGTCAAAAAGATTACATTCTGTTTGTTTGTTTTGTTTTTTTGGTACCGGGGATCGAACTCGGGTCCTTGTGCTTGCGAGGCAGGCAACTGGAACCACTGGGCTAAATCCCCGGCCCCAAAAAGATTACATTCTGATGCTGTGAATTGGCTTAAGCCAGCACAGCAATTGAATAAATCAAATGTTTGCCAAATTTCCTTTTTTGTACTGCACTGTTCATATAGGCTTGGTGCTGGAGTTTTGATAAGGTGCGTGAATGTGGAACTAGGATTATAATGCAAGCAGACATGTAATGCTCTGTGTATTTTTAAACATCGTTAGTTTAAAAAGGTAAACAGCTTTTGAAAGACCACTATGCCTAAAACACTTTTCAAAGCTGCAGCAATTTAATTGCTGATCATTATGTCCACTAACTGATGATCTAAGTTTGAACATATTCTGTTTCTTTGTAAGGAAGGTTGCTACAGCAATTAGACAAAACTTAAGCAGTTTGCCAGGTTCCAACTGGCTAGAATGCAATTATATGACTAGATTTCAAATAAGTGATGCTTTGAGTTTTAGCTATCTTCAGTTAATTTCCATTTCCCTCGCTGCAAGTCATCTTGTTCTGCTTCAGTTTGTCATGTCCTTACACTGTAGCTTACATTAAGTGCCTCATTTCATGGCATCCAATTAGAGAACCCTTAGATAAGCATGACCTGGCTTGCGCACATAAAAATGTTTTCAAAATCTAGCTAGATTCCTTTCACTATCTACAGCTAAACCCACCAGACCTTTCTGGATTAACTTGTGGGCTGTAACATCACAAAGAAGGTCTTTTTTCTCCATTACTAATCTAGTCTCTACTTTGAAGTGAACCAGATTCCATGTTTTGTTAGATTCTTCGCTGTGGTGTGAAACTAATCAATGGGAAACTTTTCTTTCTAATTACTTAGACCAGATATATAGGTGACAAACCCTAGATATTACTTAACAAGTATTTTAACAGTGACTATTAAGAACAACTAAAAATAGTAAATTACACAAAAGCTCAGTGTAGCTGGTGACTTCATTACATGAAAACTCAAATTTTTATTTTTCTTAGTAAAACCTGCAAGCTATTTCATCTGCAATCTTAGTAAACCTGCAATCTATTTTATCGCTCCTTCTCAGCTTATGTCACCCTATGAAAGTATTTGGGTCATAAGAATGGTAGTACCCTTGAATATGAAGGTAAAAGCTTCATGCTATTTGGGAACCACAGACATCTGAATACCTCTCTCTATATATGAAGTCACATAATTGCATTGTATCTAGTTGGAACCTGGTGTATTGCTCAATTTTTTTCTAATTGTTTAGGAAGAAATTTACATATATATTATATATATGCTGTTTATATATGATGAATATTAAATTAAGAAGAGCATATAGACTTATAAGTAAACACAGTAGATTGTGCTTCTCTAATTTTGTAACCTCCTAGAACCCCACTAAAATGCCTAGACTTCCGGGAAGATGGAGGAGTGGTGAGCACCAGAGAAACAGGCTCTCCGAGATTCGGTGTCCAGACCTTAGAATACAGTAATGTGAAGAAGAGAAAAACGAGGAAAGTGGGCTCCCGGGACCCAGCAAGGATCTGAAGTGAGAAATGAAGCCCACGGGGAGAGCAAGGAGAGAGACTTCAATGAAAAAGAAGGAGGTGGCAAGTGGCGCTTTCTCCCTGAGCAGTGATGCACGGTGTTGGAAAGGTAGCTCAAACCTGCAGACCCACAGTGACTACTGGCAACTCCAGAGGCCTCCACAGAGAAACGCACCAGTGGAACAGAGCAGTGAACTGCAGTGGCTGGTGAGGTTTTTGAGTTCCGACGTCTCTCAGGAGAAGGCGACTGGCCAGTAGCCATTTTGGAGAGGGGCCAACTGAGCTCAGAACTCAGAGCAGCTGCAGGGGTGGCTCCAACAGGGTGAGGCAGAACTAAGTTCAAATCAGCAGAAGGTCAAGGATCCAAGTTCAAGCCGGCAGGGAGCCGAATTCAAGATGGCAGGAGACACCCGGAATGTTGCAGGCTGAATGAATCAGGTTCCAGCCTCACAGCCAGAAACCAGCCTCACAGCCAGAAACCAGCCTGAGCTGCAGAATTAAAGGTGCAGGTTTGCCTACATTATCCACTGCCCCACCACGAATCTACAGATGGCTTGTTGGCATTAATCAACATGGCACTGGGCTCTTTGTGCCCAATTTTTCTACTAGTGACAGCAGAGGGATGCCTTGAAGTAGACATTTTATTTTATTTTTTTCTTTTTCTTTTTTTTTGTTTTCTTTTTTCTTGATTGTTCTTGTTTTTATATGTGTTAAAATTGTTTCTAGTTTTTGTTGTTGTTGTTGTTCTGTTCTGCTCCTATTTTTATTTCTTCCTGCTCTCTTTCCTTCCTGTCTTCATTACCAGTTCCCCAAAGTTTGATCTTACTTTGTCCTCCAGCCTTGCTTCTAATTTCTTCCTCTTCTTCTATTTCTCTATTTTTTCCCCCTAACCCCTTTTAAATTTTCTGCCCTGATGGTAAAATCGCCATATTGAGGGCATATTTACTGTATACAATTTTCTGGTTTTTTGTTTTTGTTTTAGATTTTATTATATAA